AAGCACAAGAAGATCCTGGCGATGGCCAAGGGCTATCGCGGCCGCGCCAACTCGTGCTACCGCACGGCCATTAACCGCGTCGAGAAGGGTCTGCAGTACCAGTACCGCGATCGCAAGCAGAAGAAGCGCGTACGTCCATCATGGCCCATCGGCGCCATGGCCTCATGCGCTGTGTTTAGGACTTCCGCTCGCTCTGGATCGAAAAGATCAACGCTGGCACGCGCCAGGAAGGTCTGTCGTACTCCAAGTTCTTTGGCGTCCTCAACGCGTCCGAGATCCAGCTGAACCGCAAGGTGCTCGCCGATATTGCGGCCACGGAGCCCTTCAGCTTCAAGTCCATCTTGGAGGTCGTCAAGCAGATGAAGTAAACGGGCGTGCATGCACCCGACGAAGAATAGCCTAGAAGAACCAAAAAGATGAAATGGATTAGTATACTTGTTCGCGAAGAGACGGCTAGCGACCCGACCCGATTTGCAACATTCGAGCGAGCTGCCCTCTCGATCAGTATTTGCGATGAGCACGGGTGCGCACCCTTGCGACCAATTCCTACGAGCAACTGCAGACGGGAGCAGCGCCAAGGGTGTGTACTCGACAGAAAGCCCTCGTGAGCCACTTGCGGAGTGGTGTTACCGTTCGCGCCGGCAGTAAACCTCGTCAGAATACTGTTGGAGCGTGTCGTTGCCATCGCCTTTTATCATCGGCTGCCTCTGAGTGGCGTGGGTCCTACTCCATGGGCTGCCGAAACCTCCTCGACGCGTCGCCGTGAGAGCGCATACACCTGGCGCCAGTGGAGACCACTTGCTTCGACGGCCAAAGCGGCAACCCCTCGATCCACTTTTGCAATTGCAGTCGCGCGTCCGCATGTACCGAGGACGCAGCCGGCCACGCATGCCTCCAACGACCAACGCTTTTCCTGCGCGCCTCATGGGGCACCTCGGTGACTTGTAACTCGTTGGCTTGTTGCATGGCGGGCGGATCGGGCATCGATTCCTCGAGCGATTCGCCGATTGCACGCCAAGACGCTTTGTATCCGGCTCGGCGGCCAAGAGATTGTCGTGACCAAGGACCTGCGCGTGTTCAAGCCCGTGCTTGGACAGTTCATCGCGCACTTTGAGCCATCGGGCAAGGCGCGCGCGGCAGTCGGTAGCTCGATGCCATCCCGCGCCTTTGTGCAAGGACCCGTCGACGACTGCGCAAGGTGCTAACGCACGCGTTGGCGCAGCAAGACCTCGAGCGCATCCCGTTCATGGCGAGCTCGATTGTCAACGCGCTCGATGCGTTGTCGTCGTCTGATACTTTAGCATCGACGTCGTACCCGAGGTCGTGATGCCCAAGCTCGCCTTCGACATGATGAGCCAGCTGCTCTCCGATTGGGACGCCAAGACAATGCATGGCGACTCGCTCTCGCTCCTCGCGTCGGCGCTGCTGGTTTCAGACGTGATTGGCAAGCGCACTATGCTGCCGCTGCCGTGGCTGTGGCGCTTGCTGTGGACCCGCAACCGCGGCACCAACGCCGCCCGCGACGTCCTCCGAGCCCACGTTTGGTCGCTCGTGGCCGCGCGGGGCGTTCGTGGCCCACCATCGTCGCTTCTGGACGCGATGGTGGCCGCAACGTCCGACGGCAAACTCTCGACAAACGAACTGCGTGACAACCTCCTCGCTCTCCTCTTTGGTGCCTTTGATACCGCGCTTTCGATCCTCTTCAACCTCTCGCGATGCACCTAGCAGTGCAAGACGAGCTCTACGAAGCGCTGCTCGACGCGTTTCCCAACGGCGCCAGTGAGATTGCATATGCAGCGTCGAGCCAGCGACGCGCCGTGCCGTACTTGTGCTGGACAGTTGACCAAGTGCTGCGCTTGAAGCCCGCCGTGCCCGTCATCAGCCGTCAGTGTGTGTCGCCGTGCGTCATTAACGGCGTCGAGTTCCGCGCCAGCGACGACGTGCTCATCGACGGTGGCAGTGCCTGCCGCGACGATGACTACAGCCCTGGTCATTTCGACCTGGATAAGTTTTGTCCATCGCGCTTTGGCGACTCAACTGCCGCACTCGACAAGTTGGCGCTGCTGTCGTTTCGCGCAGGAAAGCGTCTCTGCCCCGGGCGCAATATCGCGCTGAACCAAGTGCGCGCCGTGTGCGCTTAAGACGTGGCATAGGTCCCTTTGCGCAGAGTGGTCACCTCTGCCTTCCATGTACGGCACTTCGCGTCGTGGTTTGCTGGAGCCGCAATGAGGCCAACGACACCACGTTGCGACCAGGAATAGTGGGCGACGAAAGCTTGGTGCGCAACCTGGATGGCAGCTGCCAAGTCCCACGAGCTTCAACAGCGCGTGGCTCGATCCGACGAGACCTCGAGACGTGGTCACCTCCTCCTATGCGGAGCATCTCGCCGCCCCGTCAGGAGTCAACATTGCATTTTGGGCGCGACCGCCGCGGCGTGGGATTGGCTCGAATTATAGCCAATCAGCGCGCGAATTGCCAGCATGCGCGTCCTGAACGTGGCCGAGAAGCCGTCCGTGGCCAAGGAGATCGCGCACATCTTGTCGTCGGGCCGGAGCACGCGGGTAACTCCCTCGACTCGGCGACGACGTCTCTGCATCCTGCGTAGCGACCCGGCTTTTCCCAGTACAATGGCATCTTTGAGTTTCCGTTTGAGCTCAACCAGCAGCGCGTCGAGATGGTCTTCACGTCCGTGACCGGCCACCTCATGCAGCTCGACTTCGCGCTGAGCCACCGGTAGACGATCATGTACTACATGTCCCATCGATGCATGCGCTCGTAGCGGCTGGAAGACATGCGACCCCGTCGACCTCTTTAGCGCGGCCGTCGAGAAGACCGTGCGCGAGGACTCGACGCAGAAGAAGATCGAGCAGACGTTGAAGGCCGAGGCCGCACGTGCTCAGGTACACCGCGCCGCCATGAACCTCATCGAATAGTACGATGGCATGTATGTAGATGCTCGTGCTCTGGCTGGATTGCGACCGTGAGGGCGAAAACATTGCGTTCGAGGTCAAGGCCGTGTGCGAGAAGGCGAATCG